CTCCTAGTTATTATTACTAAAGTTGCAAAATCCTACCTCCAGCCTTCTTATTAGGAGGTGCTTTAAGAGATGCACACAGCTTCCAGGTCTCATTGAAAAGTAGCCCTGATAGCTTCCAGTGGGGTTTTGAGCTTGGCAACCTGGTGGAGCAGAGTTAGGATTTGCACATAATTTGACTTTGTAGTGTTGAGCTAGGTGAAAGTGGTTGGCTGAGACAACTAGGGAGCAGACTTAATAGGACTTTTAACTTTCTCTGACTAGGCAATACGTGCCACTTATCAGACTCCCCTTTTTTGCGGGGGGGAGTACTGGAGATCAAACTCAGGACCTTGTGCTTACAAAGCAGGCACCGTGCCACTGAGCTAAATCCCTGGCCCCAGACTCTTCATTTTTGTTGAATGTAATTAACTGAAAAGTTTTAGATCTGAAAATGCTGATGTTTATGGGGACTCGCAGTGCCTTGCATTGTGTGTCAAATTTGCCCTTTTTGGTTCTCCTTCCTGCTATTTTTCTAATCTTGAGTCTGTGACCACCACTGGGGAGTTGACACTAGCCAGCCATCCTGAAAGATCAGAAGCCTTTCTAACTGGAAAAAGAGACACTAACTTGAGAACCTGAAGATGCAGAATTCAATATGGGCTTTTGCTGTTGTGGGAAGAGTCTTTTAACACTTCATGCCTGTCTCCCAAAGGTCATAGACAGTAATTTTTTGTTTGTTTGTTTTATTTTGTTTTTGGTACTGGGGATCGAACTTGGGTCCTTGCGCTTGCACAGCAGGTGTTAGAACCACTGAGCTAAATCCCGAGCCCCAGATAGTGATTTTTTAAGGTTGCTGAGTCTTTGGGTGGAAACCTCTGGAGCTGAGCATCCAATTTCCCTGGGAATGAGGCCCCCTGGGAGTGGCCTTTCTGTGCTGGCCCACTACTATTATGCTTGTCACCAAGAGGAGTTGCCTGTTTTCTCTCAGGGTTTATTTTTAAATTTTTTTCAGGGTTTGTTTTATACAGAATACCTCAAGATATTACTTTACAATGGTATTCACAAGAGTTTGACTGGAGAGTTGCCAAATAGTATTATTACATAATATTTCTTAAAAATTTGGCATAAATTTGATAAGAAACTCAGAAAATCTAATACTGAGTAAATTAGAAACTAGCAAATTGCTTATGGTGCTTAATATAACTACACATTTTAGATATTAAAGCTTTCTTATTATGATAAACATCAGTGCTTGGATGTTACCTTCAGTCTACTTAACAGTCTAAAAAATATGATGATTCACATTCCAGTATATAGGGAACTCAGCCATTTCCTTTGCATAATAACCTACTTTAATTCAAACAGGTAACAATGACCTTGATAGCGAGAGGGAATCAGCTTTCATTTGCCAGGGCAAGTGAATGAAACTTAGGTCTAAGAAAGGACTTGCTATTTCATGGGGAAAAGCATATTTTCAGGAAAATCTGGAAGTATCTCAGCTTTTCTTAGAAAGGTTAAGTAGGCATATTTGCCATACTGTTCTAATAATCCCTTAACATAGAGAGCTTTTTGGTGTGTTACAAGTGCTAAATGATCAGTTCGATGGAATTTACAATTTCCCATGGTTGTTTTCAGGAGCATGTGAAGAGTCTGAAATGTAACGGCCGAATATTGACCTGGATCTCAAATTGATGAGATGTGTGATACCATTTGTCTTTTTAAGTACCAGAGTTAAATACACAGATAGAACTTGGCATATCATATACAAGTCAATGTTCAATGCAAATTTATTATTTGAAAACAAAATATATATGTATATATTTTGGAAAAATGCTTGTAGTCCAAAGCACTTGTATATTAAAGTGAATTTCCCCATAAGACCTAATGGAAACTCAGATGATTTGTTCCATAATCAAAAAATATTCATAGAAAAATGATTATAATACTAAACAATAAAGAAAATACAAAATATAAAGAAAAATAAATTAACCACTTACCTTTAAAAACTTTCATGGCTGGTGTGAGGGAGAAAAGAAAGGAGGGTTATTGTGTAGGATGATGTCACTATCACTAATGGAATCACTTCTGTCTGTTGGCTCAATGGAATCTTCTTCTTTTTGTGCAACTTTAGCAAGGAATCTATCTAATGACATTTGCTTTTGCCTGCTTTTGAGGATTTTGTGGAAATGTGACATTGCATTGTCATTAAACAGATTCATTGTTCACATGACTACAGCCTTACTATTCTACAAAATTTTGCACTGTTTCCCACATTTTATACATTTGCCTAATCTCATTTGAAATGAGGGATTTCTCCACCTTTTTCTCCTCCTCTGCAGATGAGATCTCCTCCATAACCTCTTGCTGTTGGAAGACATCACACATAGTCCTGGAATGGTAGGGGGAGAGAGAGAGAGAGAGAAAGAGAGGAACCATTAGCTGAGTTGTGATCATGTGATGTTATGCATCACATACTACTCATATTGCAAGACATCACTTGTTTATCAAGTTAAAATTTATTAGAAATGTTTGCTTGTCTTGTGGAACACTTCAGAATAAGCTACTTGGCAGTTTAAAGATATATATATATATAATATATATAATATTATGAGTAATATATAAAGTAATAATATATATTATTACTTTATATATTACTCATAATATTATATATATTATATATATATATATCTTTAAACTGCCAAGTAGCTTATTCTGAAGTGTTCCACAAGACAAGCAAACATTTCTAATAAATTTTAACTTGATAAACAAGTGATGTCTTGCAATATGAGTAGTATGTGATGCATAACATCACATGATCACAACTCAGCTAATGGTTCCTCTCTTTCTCTCTCTCTCTCTCTCCCCCTACCATTCCAGGACTATGTGTGATGTCTTCCAACAGCAAGAGGTTATGGAGGAGATCTCATCTGCAGAGGAGGAGAAAAAGGTGGAGAAATCCCTCATTTCAAATGAGATTAGGCAAATGTATAAAATGTGGGAAACAGTGCAAAATTTTGTAGAATAGTAAGGCTGTAGTCATGTGAACAATGAATCTGTTTAATGACAATGCAATGTCACATTTCCACAAAATCCTCAAAAGCAGGCAAAAGCAAATGTCATTAGATAGATTCCTTGCTAAAGTTGCACAAAAAGAAGAAGATTCCATTGAGCCAACAGACAGAAGTGATTCCATTAGTGATAGTGACATCATCCTACACAATAACCCTCCTTTCTTTTCTCCCTCACACCAGCCATGAAAGTTTTTAAAGGTAAGTGGTTAATTTATTTTTCTTTATATTTTGTATTTCTCATTTATTATTTTG